CTAGCATCACCCAATAAATAAAATGTTAAAAATCATCAATAAATATAATGTCAGAAATAGCTGCCATGAGCACCAGCTATACCAGGCATAGTGCCAGACATTTACAATACATTCTCATTTAATCCTCACAACAATTTTACAAAGCAACAGAGGTTCAAAGAGGGCAAGTAATTTGCCCAAGGACACACACATAGTGATAGAAAAATGCAGGATGCTCATGTGAATTTTAGCACATGAACACGTACACACACAATTCAATATGTGAACTCATGAGTCATAATCTCCCTGAGAACCTTCCAGGGACCAGTCAGGAACCCCTATGTTAGACTAATCTTGAGGAAGTCTACCTAGTGCTCAAGGGTTAGATTCCTATGAAGAAGAAACTGAAAATAAAGTATCTGTGGACAGGTTTGTTGGCTCCCACCTGTAAACCCAGCAACTCAGGAGGCTAAGGCAGGAGAACTGCAAATGTGAGGCCAGTCTCAGCAACTTAGCAAGACCCAGTCTCAAAATAGAAAAAAAAGAAAAGAAAAAGGGCGGGGTGGGGGTGGGGGTGAGATATAGCTCAGTGGTAAAGCACCTGGCTTCAATGCACAGTACCTCCCCCAATTCTCTGTGTATCAAATAAAACTCCTCTAAACTTGGAAATGTTCTTATTTAATAATGAGCAACATTTCTACCACAGCCAAGAAAATAACTTGTCAACAGCCCACCTAACTTTATTGTATTATTTGTGTGTGATTTTACTTATCTATAAATCTCAAAAAAATGAGATCCACTGATTTAGGGATCTTTATGCAATTAGAAAGCTTTTTGAGAAACTAACTTGAATCAAAGAAGTTAAGCCCCCCCCCCCAAAAAAAAAAACAGAACTGAAATATTTCTGAATTTCCCTAAAAGTAATCCACAAAACAACTCAAAGTCTGCAGGTCTCAGGAACTGATTTGTTAAAAGCACTTTACATTTGACATTTGCATTATTACTAATTGCCCTCTTCCAATGTGTTGATATTTCCTGCTTTTGAAGAGGCCCTTAGAGACTTAGTCGACAAACATTCACAGTCCCTAATTTGTAGAAGACACTCTCTTAGGTGCCTGGGACCACACTGTTTCTTGCCTTCATGTTTAAGGTCAAAAGCTACCTGCCAATTTGTGGACATCCCCATCCATAAGAAAGGACACCTCCTGTGCTCTCTTGGCATTGCCTAAATACTTCCCCATATGTGATTATTTGTTTGTCTTCCTCACTTTGGTGAATCCCTCCAAAAAACGAACACTATCACTATCAATGCCATATTCCTAGCATAGGGCACATACACCTGGGGATCCATATAACTTAGTGGAATAAATACACTTAAAATATATGTGTTTCCACATACTCACTCCAACCAATCCTTTCCTCCAATCTCTTCTTAACAGTCAGGATGACTTTTTACTATTCCACATGTCATTCATCCGGCTAATTAAAGCCCCCATTGCCCTTAAAATAAAGACAAAAATTTACCTGTAGCTCAGAAAACCTCCACTCTACAGCCTCTGTCCACCTCTCCAATCTCATTCTTCCTCATTTTGGTCTCTGTCCCCTTGCTCACCACTATTCCTTTGTACTTTGACCATGCAGTTCCTTCTGCCAGAAACCCTCTTCACTCCATCCTAAGCACCTCTTATGGTCATTCTGAATTACTTCCACTCCCTTTTTAAGTGTTTGGAAGTGTCATTTCCAACAGGATACCATCCCCAGTTGCCCCAGACAAGAGGAACACCACATTATGGATTTTGCCCCATCTTAGCACACATTCTTCTTTGGAAGAAACATTTATCACACCTACAATTGTTCAAGGATTGTCTCTCTTGTTAGAATATAAGCTCTATAAGGACAAGAGAAGCATTTCTTTTCACATTTCATTTCACATTGTGTTGACACAGAATAGCTGCTTAACTACTATGCTGTCAGAATAGTTTGGGGTCAGATCATGGAGGGCTATAACATCAGCCCAAGTAAACCAAACTGCAAAGATCATTATCCCTTTGCGAATATGTAAATTAAAAAGAAATGTGTAGTTGGTCAGGGTGCAAGAGATGTCCTGAATGACAGCTTGAATCTTCCTATCATAATAGTTGCCTTCAAAGAGACAGCAGTTAGACTTGCCAAGCCTTGAAGAAACACTACTGTTAAGCAAAGTAACACAACTACCACCCTTTTCCTACAAGAGGGCTATAAAATAACAAACTTGCCTCCAATAAGGGAAGAAATAACAGGAAGAAAGCTATTGCACTTCCAAGTATCTTCAAATAACAAATGGGCAGTTTGGTCCCTGATTGCTCCTTAATAATCAACAAGAAACAGCAAGGGGGAAAACAGTCTTCCCATTCCCACCACTTACTGAAGCAGGGATAAGAAAATTAAAAAGTGTATCAGTAAGGCAGAAGCTATTTGAAAACCATTCAAAAACTTTGCTAACCCATTGGCAGTTTTTGTTTTTCGTTTCTTGGTACTGAGGACTGAACCCAGGAGCACTGTACTGCTGAGCCACACCCCCAGTCCCTTTAATTTTTTTTTCAATGGCATCTGGCTAAATTGCCCAGGATGATCTCAAATTTGCAATCCTCCTGCCTCAGCTTCTCAAGTTGGATTATATGTGTGTCCCACCTCACCAGTACATTGGCAGTTCTTCACAGGTGCCAGCAAAAGAAAAAGTGGCGTGAACTCAACAGCAACATTTCATTGTCCATAAGCTGCAGGGGCCAGACCATGTCTATCACAGAAACCACAAACCAGGCCAAGGGTCAGGATTGTTGCTGGTCATCCTGCCAAATACAGATTGCAAGAAAAAAGAATAGCTAAAGCCTCTTCAAAAAGGACTCAATAACTATCCACACAGTCTACATTCACCCTGGGGTTCCTGAGTGAAGAGAAGGAGGATCGGGGAGGGTATTCTGAGGTGAAAAAGAGACTTAGAGAAAGGGTGTGATATATTGAGAATAAAGGGGAAAGTCTAAAACAGGGAAAATGTGAAGCGCAAATAGGGAAAGAAACAATTTCAAGAGATGTGGGTGGGGTAGGCTAAGAAGGAAGGTATAGAAGAAAAGGGTAGGTTCTCTGCAAGAGCAGAGTAAGCATCAAGAGATGTGGGAAGAGGCAAAGGCAGACTGTTGGATCTTTTCCCTATTCCAAAAGCTGCTCATTGCATCCCAATAAATCATTCTACTACAAAGTCCATACAATGGATTGTCTTTGTATTCAGTAACACACAGCATTTAACCAAGTATCACCGGTCTGCAACTTTCGAGACCAAAGGGTCTTAATGAAAATATGAACAAAATTGGTTCACTACAGCAGAAAACAGCTAGTAATGACTTTCCCCAATCCCTGACTCAGCTGTGAAAAGGTTTAGCATTTTAGAGTTAAGCAAATATTCTGGCATTTCTCCTTCTTTTGACATTCCAAGAGGGGGTGTGGTTGACCCCAGGTCCATTCATTTCCAAGGTTGTAAATCTCTCTGCTAAGACTGGCCCCATCTGTTCTAGAGTCTGCCAGCTGTTTATCTCAAAGTAACATATTTATTGCACTGATCATCTCTTTACCTCTTAAAAGACAGCCAACATCATACAAGCTCTTATTCCCCTATTAAATGTGTCAGTTTGTTTAAAAACAACCACTACCACCAAACTGAGCACAACACCACTATGCTCCTTGGTTTCCCTGGCCATGATCACTCTTCCTATCAGCAATGGCAAATGAAGGTTGATAACACTAACTTTCCCTTTCCCTAACGCGTTAAAATAAACCCGGGTTTCCCTAATCGATCCAGTCTGCAAACCGTTATTTGTGAGTGGTGACTGTGCATCGGGAAACAGCAGCTCATTATGGTACCATTGTCAGTGGCAAGGAGCCTATTGCAATGTAATTTAAAACACTCACACAAGCACAAATCTGTAGGCTCCACTTCCAAACAATCCCGAATCCTGCAGTCAGGAGAACGGAGAACACTTTAAAATGCTGCTTCCAGCAGCCTAACAGAACCTTCCTCAGACACGTGAAATGTTTCTGACGAGCACGGAGTGCACCATTAAAGGACACTGTCACCTCAAATCAGCAGAAAAGGAGAGACAAACGGCATAGGCATACACACATAAAATAAAGCCCTACGAAACTTAAGCTACTCAAAAAGAAACATACACCTCTTTAAATTGAATAGTGTGTGCTCGTCCAAGCGACATATAAATGTTCTAAAGTAGTGCGACCACATTAAATCACTGTCTCCATTTCTCCCCACGCATCACCCCTTCCCACTCAAACCTCAGGACTCGGGCTGTGACAGGACTGCAGTCCCCCACCTCTGCCCTCCTCTGATTTTCCAAGAGCACTTCCCAACATCCTTCCCAGCCCAGCCCCCTCTGCCAGCCTCAAAAGGTTGAGGGGAGTTGCGACTAGGGAATTGGCAGGCACCGGTCCTCTGGCGGGTGTACGTTACTGGAGTTCTTTGCAGTGACCCAAATTGCACAGAGCTTTTCCCTTAGCAGCGCCCGTGAGAACCTCCAATTCCCCCCGCCCCCATCTTCCCAAAAGAAAGCCTTAAGAACTAAGCGGGAGGAATAACTTGGGAGAACCATTTGAATAAATCACTTTAACTCACCTGGTTTGGGATTTTTCTCCCCACCCCAGGCATAAACAGAAATGATGTGCGAAAGAGTCACGCACGCAAGGGAAGGTACTGCGATGTCCTAAGTCCAAGGGCTGGAGTCGGTCCCTGCCCTAGTGCTGCTGCTACTCTGAGCTCAGCTGGAGCGAGCGGCAATCGCAAGCCCAGCAGCAGTAAGGGGGTGGATAGACCGTAGCACAATGAATGCGGTGGGGTTTTTGCAATGACATCATCCCTCTGTCCACAGAGGCCCCAATAGCCATGCTCGGGAGAGGTGCATTCTGGGAATGGTAGTCTTCTTGCGTCCGGGAGAGACACCGAGTCTACCTCCGGAACTACAATGCCCAAAATGCGCCAAGGTCGGACGCGCCCGAGCGAGGGAGCGGAGGCGACTCGGCCGCCATGTTAGGAGTGCCGGGAGGACTCCGCGGAGCCGCCCGGAGGTTCAGGGAGCGCGGGATCCGAGTGGTGGTGCGGTGGGGACGGTGAGGTGGAGAGCAAGCCGATGGGAGAACCTTGGGCCCCGATCCGGTGGGGAGCCGGGTGGAAGCCGCCCTGGGGGCTGATGTCCTGCGGGTCCAACTGGGGGTGGCATCTGGATGGAGGCCGAGTGAGCCTCCGCCTCACGGTCCTGCAGGGTTGCATGGAGCCCCACGCCCCCCGCCCCATTTTCTAAGGGATTGAGGGAGTTGTTTTACTTCTGGGAGTGGAGGCTCCCTTAGACTGGCTAGCAGGACCGTCGCGGTGGTTGCCTCTGCTGAGGTGCTGCCGGCTTTCACCTAAGGAGTTGGGGGAAACTTTGTCCTTATTTGTGTCTTCTTGCTATTTATTTGCAACAATCATGCCCCCTCTACTAGGTTTGGGCCTTCACTTATTTCTCATACGGAAGTGATTTGCAAAGGTCTTAAAAGAAACCGTTATTGGAAGGTACGGGCTAGAAGGGAACATTGCTTTGGCCTTGAAGATGAGAAAAAAACATGGAGTAGCCTAAAGGAGAAACATCCAGTTGAACGACAACTCACTGACTGGAGAAAGCAGGGAGGTTGAAAGGGCATATTATTTATAGGCTTACCGAGGGCGGGTGAACTGATCCGGAGTAACACTGGTTCTTGGATAAACGAAGCGTATGCTAAGTTGATTAACATGGATTGCCAGTTTATTTTAAAAATTCATTTAGTATGTGGTATTCCATACGTATGACTGCTTTAAGAACTTTTAAGTCATTTTGCCCAGTCTCTTAAATGAACTGTATTTTTTTCCCCAATTGTGTTACTAAAACAGAATTGTATGTTTGTTCTTTTCCAGAGTCTGTCTACACTATGGAAAGATGGGAAATTTCATTTCCTGCTGAGGGTGTCTCAAGGGTTAAAGAAAATGCTGTTATCTGTGCTTCCCCCACCTACTTCTCCCTTTTGCACTTTATTCTGAGAACAGAATTGACTGTGGTTTGGGGGGGTTAGTGGAGGTATGCACTATATCTCTATTAGGACATAATAAAATTAGAGCAGATAGTTTCTCCTATTAAAAAAAAAAAAAGGCTAGTCAGAGTGATTTAAAATGACCAAAACAGGCAGAAACAGTCTTTCAGATGTATGCAGATGATAATTATAAAAACAGAATTTGAAAGACTCAACATATGTCATGTTCCTGGGAACAAGCCACAAGATGAGTCACTTTGTTTCATTCTTACACAAAGGTAAATTGTTGGTGTCATTTATCCATGAATACAACCATGTACAAGGCTCATACAAATAGTATGTTATTCAGAAACACTTTTGCAAATACTGATGGTAAGTAGTTGGAAAGAAGCAAATGCTTACTTTTTTTTTTTCTGACCTCTGGCTTACCTTAGAAATGTTTTGAGCTAATAAATCTTGTGCATTTTATAAGACAGTTATGTAAGCAACAGCCTTAGTTTGAGTTACTGTGAAAGGCCAGTATATAGTGGGGAAAGGAACAGAATGCTCAAAAATCTTACGTGTGAAAAATAAGAGTGATATCTTTTTAAGTTTAAAGTTTTTAAGTTTAAAGTTGTTCATCTGAACATCTGGCCATACGTGAAACGAATGTATTTAGTATCCTTAAAATTGTCCGTGATTTAATTCTTTTTTTTTTTTCTTTTAAACTTTTTTTTTTTTTAGTTGTAGTTGGACACAGTGCCTTTATTTTATTTATTGCTGTGTGATGCTAAGGATCGAACCCAGCGCCTCGCACATGCTAGGTAGCACTCCATTACTGAGCCACAATCCCAGCCCCTCCATGATGTAATTCTTACTTTGATGAGGGGGGAAAAATTCCACACTCCTGTTTAGAAATTTGATTTACAAATTAATATCTGTGGGTCTGTGATGCTAGCTTCTGAAAGAATAGCCTGAGGAAAATATTGAATTAGAAAAACATTTTAAAATTGGAATTAGGAAAGAGATAAACTACATTCAAGTATCATAGGTAGCACATTTAAGAGTATTGAGTCAGTTGCATTTAGAGCAGAGGTTTTTTTCAACAAGGATAAGTGTCAGGATTGCCTATAAAAATCTAAAAATATATTACTACTGCCCATCCATCCCTGTTGAATTGGAACCAACTATTGAGTATTTTTAGAACTTTATAAGTGTGACTACAGGGCTTGGGTGGAGTAGTCTTCTGCATCCTGTATTTGTGTTTTTGTATTATCTAAAGCAAGGAATAACAAAAAGATTTTGGCAAAAACTAGTTAATTGCTGATTTTATCCATGTGATTTCTGAAAGTGTAGATGAGGGATTCACCTGGTGATCAACTTAAACATGGCATTTGGGAAGCAAATGCAGCTGAAATTGGGGAGAAGAAATCAATGTTAACCTTAAAAGTACTGCCATATCATCACTTACCTAGATGTTTCTGAGAGTGAAGGTTTAGCCTAATCCTAACAAAGCCTAATAATAAGAGACACCCAGTAATAGCACAATGCCAGTAAGAGCTCATTGCCATGATAAAATCATGGTAGTTATTCAGAAAGAGGCAACATGATATTTTGGTTTGGGGAATTTTCTGGAAATAACAACCCTTTGCCCTAAATCTAGAATTTTTTTAGATTATTGATATTGTAACGTTCTTGATATTTGAGTATCTAAAGTCATATAGGCCCCTTTTTAGAAATGAGAAATCTTACAGATCGTCTAAGACATGTTCTACAGAAGAGGAAATGGACACAGTAAATTTTAAAATTACTAGTGGTCACACTGCACGCTAGTGGTAAGACGCATAGCTAAAGGTGAAATCCAGTTCCTTCCATCTTTAGTGCTATGCGCATTTTTTTTAAGCTCCAGATTTTTTTCCCCTATGATACTCGAGGGTTTATACATTTCAGTATATATTTGATTTTAGTGTTGGAATCTCAGACAATTTAAAAAATTGTAAAATAGAAGAAATGTTTATTTTTTAGGTTTGTTGTCTTGTGATGGGGTCTTGTTATGTTCCATGCTGACCTGGAACTTCTGGGTTCCAGCCAAGCTATCCTCCCACTTCGATGTCCTAGAGTCACTGGGAATACAGACATGTTCCTGGTGCCTGGCTTCTGCAAATTCTTTGGTTCACTGAATTTGTCTACAGTCTTTACATTCAAAGTCCAGTTACATTCTTTTCATCCATATTTGCTGATGATTAAGATAAGACCTAAGAGAATAAGCAGTTTAAATGTTTAAATTAATCGCAGGATTTAAACAAACTTTAATACATCTTTAGAGGAGGGAGGTACATTTGGAGATACTATTAGCCTGAATTCCTACTGTTTTAGTTTGAAGTCCATTTTTTTATTTTTAGTTGTAGATAGACACAATACTTTTGTTGGGGAGGGGGTTAATTTTTTTTTTTTTATTTTAGATGTTCATGGACCTTTATTTTAATGTGGTGCTGAGAATTGAACCCAGTGCCTCACACATGCTAGGCAAGCACTGTACCCATGTGGTGCTGAAGATCAAACCCAGTCCCTTTCATGTGCTAGGCAAGTGCTCTACCACTGAGCTATAGCCCCAGCCCTTGAAGTCCATTTTTAATGGTTTGCTTTTATCACAAAAAAAAATTTATAACATTCTAGGGCTGGATTTGTGGCACAGTGGTAGAGCACTCGCCTTGCACAGGTGAGGTACTAGGTTCAATCCTCAGCACCACATAAAAATAAATTTTTAAAAATTTCTATAACAAAGCCTTGACAATAGATAATAGCAGGGGTGTTGATGAAAGTTCAGTGAAATAGGACTGGAGTTGTAGCTTGGTGGTAATACGCTTACCTAGCATATGTGAGACACTGGGTTTGATTCTCAGCACCATATATAAATAAATAAAGATCCATTAACAACTAAAAAAATATAAAAAGAAGAAACTTAAGTGAAATAATAAGTCAAATTTGTATGACAAGTTCACATTAAAATATAGCTCCATTTCTTCCTTTGATATAATGACAATATAGGGCAACAATCTTTTAGCCTATAACGGTAAGAAATGTGGCATGCCTATTGCTGGGTTGCGTTACTATGTAACTATGGTTATGCCTGGGATGGCTTAACTTGAAGAAAATTACATAATGATTTTCCCAGTTTACCTGGACAGTTTGAAAAGCCTCACAATTGATTATGAAAATCAGACCCTGTCTTTACTGAAAATCAGTAGTTAATTCCCTAAAAGAATAGTTAGAATGCCTAAATTTATAAAAAAGTATTAGAATTACTTTGTACCTTACCAAGTTTTGAAATAATCCTTTTCATATTCTGACCTATGAAGTTTGGAAAACCTGCCATCTGCTATGTTGCCTACCCTTCCGGTTCAGCAATTGTCTTACCAATTCCAGAAATGCAGTGCCAATAACCCAAAGGTGATAACAGGCCCAGAAGTTACATTAAAACTTACTCTGACCAACAAATAAAAGTAATCAAGACAATAAGCAAACTTAAAGGGAGAAAATAAAAACATTACAAAAATGTCTTTTCAGACCTCCCCTAAGATTGAGTTAAAGGTTTTCAGCCAGTATTTTCATAAGTAGTTACAGATAAGCCTGCCATTTAGGTTTAGTAACTAGAGTTTCTCCAGGGAAGATCTTTAATTCTGTACAGGAAGAAAAAAAATTTCCCCCTTGGTATGGGGGATTGAACCTGAAGTCTACCACTGAGCTTCATCCCTACCCCTTTTTAAGTTTTTTTTTTTTTTTTTTTATTTTGAGGCAATGTCTCACTAGATTTCCCAGGGTGATCTTGAACTTGCAATTCTACCTCAGAATCTTAAGTTGTTGATACTACAGGAATGGGGTGCCACACCCAACAAGAAAAAAGTTATGTTAAGAAGACAGAAGAGTATGTTTTCTACTCTTGGGTAACCCAACCATCGTGTATATAATGGATTGACAAGTTTAGCTGCTGGGTTTAATGTACCACTGAAGATTAATGTTCCAACAGCAAGATTTGAGGTTCACATATCCATAGTTAATGATTAACCAGGAAAGGTGAGCTGTCTTTATCCTATGATTTTTGTTCTCAGTTTTTAGCAGATTTGGGTAATAAGGGAGCCCCAGAAAACATTTCTTTGAGTACATACAGTTGAAGCTATCAATGTAAGTATGTTTTATGAACAGCCATTTTAGGAAATTCAAACATGCAGAGATGCTCAAATTGAAGTAAGTAGATACATAGTCATAAGTCAATTTGCTAGCAAATCTTTGAGGGTGAACTTGCTGTTAAGGTTAATCCTTTTAGTTGTATCTTAAAATCTTTTATAAATGGCTTTCTTGAGATGAAATTCCTCTGTCCAGCCATTTAATGTGTGCAATCCACTGGGTGTTAAATTTGTTCATGGAGTTGTGCAACCATTACTATAAACAAGAAAACAAAAAGTTTTTTCTTTTTTTTTTTTTAATCATGCTGAAATAAAAGTTATCCAAGGATTTTGTTTTTGCCTTAAGGATAGTGGTGCAGGTAATTTGACAAGAATATTTGCATTATAACTTCAATACTGTAAACAGTTATGTTCCATATATGTAAGATATGGTCTTCACTGGTACAGCTTTTACTTGTTTACCTTTGGCAATCTACATACAAGAGAATCTCAGTTCCAACTCTGAATTCTGCACATCTTTAATGTTGCACGTTATATGTCTTTCTTGCCTTCCAGTCCCATGGACGTCTCTCTTCAGTGTTCATGTTTGGGTGTCTTTTCTAAAATTGTTCTGCTTTTTCATTTTGTTTTGTTTTTCTTCTGGGGTCTTCACAACCACTGTTAGAGAAAATAGTTGGTATCCATTTGAACTAGGAAGTTTGACTTAATCAGGACTTGTCTGTTCCTGCTTAGGTACTTTTTTTTTTTTTTTTTTTTTTGGTACCAGAGTTTAAACCCCAGAGGTGCTTAACCTCTGACCCACATCCTCATCCTCAGCCCTTTTTATATTTTATTTAGAGACATGGCCTCACTAAATTTTTGAGGCTGACTTTGAACTTGTGATCCACCTGCCTCAGCCTCCTGAGCCACTGGGATTACAGGCATGTGCCACCATGCCCGGTTAAGCTACACTTATGAACCCTATTACTTAGGGGAGTAGATATCTGATATAGATGAAGAAAAATGCATATGGAGAAAAGCAATTGATAACAAAGCCCTCCTCAAAAAGTAGGGAATCAGTGCTAGGGATATACCTCAGTTGGTATAGTGCTTGCCTTGCATGCACAAGGCCCTAGATTCAGTTCCTAGCACCACCAAAAAAAAAAGTCAATTTTAACATAATTAAGAATTAACTTTTCCACTACTTGAAGTCAGTCTCACCTCATTATTTTCTAAGAGATTTAACTGGCAAAATAAACAGAAGTCAGCAAAAGAAGGGATCAGCTTAGACAAGTTCAATATAATTTTAAAAATATATTAAAGGACATTGCTTGTAACTAGATCCTGGCAGTGTGACCCAGTATGTTCAAATATGATTTCTCAGGAGATACACACAAGGAGGAATACACTGGAGACTTGAAAATGTTTGCCAGTTGAATTGTTCTCTGCTGTAAAATAAGACATTTTGAACTACAATGAAAGCTGCAAGACCTCATATATCTGGAGTAAATTCCCAGATCTCAAAAATTTAAGCTAAAGCCTAACTTTGTCCAGGCTAGCATCTATTCCTGACAAATTTAAGACTGAATCCAGCAGCCCTACCATTTCAACTGTTCAAGAGAAAGGGAAAGGCATGAAAATAATAAATTTAACTGCTTATAGCCATGGGCCCAAAAATACCCAGATTTGGAGAACTATTTCACACCACTATTTCTAAGTTGATTTGAAGGTAATTAGTTCTTATGTTAATTATTAACACCTCCTCAGTAGTTTGAGATAAGAGGTAAGCTTCATATAATTTGTTCTGAATCTAAGTAGAGGCTCAAAAGTCATATATAGTCCACTGTAGCCTTAATTTTTAGGATGTATCAGAGCTATGGTGGAGTTCACTTAAAATGTTATTGAACAGTTTATAAGGGCTGGGAATGTGGCTCAGTGGTAGAGTGCTTCCCTGGCATGCATAAGCCCTGTGCTCAATTCCTCTGGTAACACTGGTAGGGACATGTTATTAAAATATTCATGTACCAGTTGAGGTCAAAATAAAACTACAGGCTACATATACTGTAATCTTAAGATCATCTTCATGTGGTCATGGGAAGTTTTTTTGGTCATTGAATGAGGCTTTGAATCTCAATACTATAAGACTTGGGCATGTCCATTATGAGACTTTAAATCCTATAAGGAGAAAATATGCCTACTTCATTGAGTTTTTTTGAGAGCTAAGGAAATACATGAAAATGCTTAATACTCAAAAGGCAGAATGGTACAGTATATCTTAGAACATAGACTACAGAGCCAGTTGGCCTGGATTGAAATGACATTTCTGTCACTGTTGACTTTGAGCGAATTTTTTATGCCTCAGTTTCATCTAAGTGGAAATACTGATGAATAAATGAGACTATTCTTTTGAGACAAAAATAACTTCATGAGGGTTCACTGAAAAACATTCAGGGCTGGTGTTGTGGCTCAGTGGTACAGCACTTGCCTAGTACATGTGAGGCACTGGGTTCAATCTTCAGCACCACATAAAAATGAACAAAGGTATTGTGTCCATCTACAACTAAAAAAAAAAAAATGTTTTGGTTTTTTCATCATGACACTATCTCTGCCTTAGGTGCTAGAAAGCAGTATCCCCTCAGTTTTAAGGTATCAGCCAGATACCTTGCTTAGTAAAGTATGCTTTATATGTTTTGTGATGTGTGTGTGTGTACACATGATTTACAATTAACTGAAGGATTATACGATTTAGAGACAAATATGGTGAGTATTGATTGACTAATTTTCAGGATCTGATCTGCAGATACCTAAAGTGAATTCAAGCTCTGTGGTCTACTTGAATGTTGGAACTTCGAAGACAAAGCTAAATGAGAACTGCTTTAGAGTCAAAACTGGGTTCTTGATTCCTGCTCAAATGGTTAGCAACTGTAGTGTCATCTCAGGCAAATAAACTTTGAATCAGCTTCTTTAACTTTAAAATATGGTAGCAGTTAATAGAATACCAAATATATAGTAGTTGTCATGTTCTATAGCACGATCTATAGGCTCCAGCATTAGAATCTCCTGGAATATATTATTAATATGTAGATTTTGTTATCTCAACCTACATATGTTGCTTAAAAATCTGAGGGTGAGATTCAGGAATCTGCATTTTTAATAATCTCACCAGGTGATTCTTCTAACCCAATCCCTAATTTTACTTGAAAGCACTAAGGTAAAAAGCTTCCCAAATCAGATCTCTAAATACAGGCACCCTTTTATTTGTGTTTTCCTAATTCAATCTTATTTTTATTGTGCTCCAATATGTCTTATCCTTGCTGCAATACCAAGACATAAATGCCAAAATTTTAAATGTTTCCAAGTGCATAGATATTCAGTGAAGAATATAGTCCAACCACCACATGAATATATAGAAAGATGAAGTTCTTTTAGGGAAATTATAAATTCTGTAGTTTATTCCATGATTCTACTAAAGCATTAAAATGTTTTTTGGGGGCTGGGGATGTGGCTCAAGCAGTAGCGCGCTCGCCTGGCATGCGTGCGGCCCGGGTTCGATCCTCAGCACCACATACAAAGATATTGTGTCCACCGAGAACTAAAATAAATAAATATTTTAAAAAAATGTTTTTTTAATAAGAAGCAGCACTACAGTACTCTATTATAGACATCTAAAGTAGCAATATTTGGGGAGCACAGTTTCAATCAGTTCTAAATCTGTTTGATTCTGTAGCTATGTATTGAGTAAGTACCAAGTACAAGACCCTGGAGGTACAATGATGATTGTGGCCCTCTAAAACCTTTTTAGTGTCATAGATCTCTGTCAATCTAGTGAAGTCAGTGGATATTTTTTAAAAAAGAAAACAATAAAACAGTTTTTAGGGTCTAAGGATGTAGCTCCGAGGTAGAATGCTTGCCTAGCAAGCGTGAGGCCATGAGTTTAATCATCAGTACCACAAAAAAATAGTAACAAGTTTTTAAATGCAGAAAGTACACTGCATTAGATTACAAACGGAGCAAATAATATTGATATAGTTATCAAAAATAAATATGTGCTTTATTAACTCCTTACTTAAAATCTAGCAGTGGCTTAATTATAATTTCAGTAGTGGTGAATGAATTATTTCAAGTTATTTACAACAATCGCAATGATATGAAAATACTCACTGCAATTGTGACGGTCAAAATTGTACTACTCTAAGCTGCTACATTCAAATTTTATTAGTAATTAGTGAAAATAGAGTTATAATTTTCCTCCATACAAGTTCATGGATTCTGAATTATGTCTATGGATCCCTGGTTAAGATTTTTTTTTTAATTTTTTATTGTTGGCTGTTCAAAACATTACATAGTTCTTGATATATCATATTTCACACTTTGATTCAAGTGGGTTATGAGCTCCCATTTTTACCCCATATACAGATTGCAGAATCACATCAGTTACACATCCATTGATTTACATATTGCCATACTAGTGTCTGTTGTGTTCTGCTGCCTTTCCTATCCTCTACTATCCCCCCTCCCCTCCCATCTTCTCTCTCTGCCCCCTCTACTGACATTCATTTGTCCCCCTTGTATTATTTTTCCCTTTCCCCTCACTTCCTCTTGTATGTACTTTTGTATAACTCTGAGGGTCTCCTTCCATTTCCAGGCAATTTCCCTTCTCTCTCCCTTTCCCTCCCACCTCTCATCCTGTTTAATGTTAATCTTCTTCTCATGCTCTTCGACCCTACTCTGTTCTTAGTTACTCTCCTTATATCAAAGAAGACATTTGGCATTTGTTTTTTAGGGATTGGCTAGCTTCACTTAGCATAATCTGCTCTAATGCCATCCATTTCCCTGTAAATTCTATGATTTTGTCATTTTTTAATGCAGAGTAATACTCCATTGTGTATAAATGCCACATTTTTTTTTATCCATTCATCTATTGAAGGGCATCTAGGTTGGTTCCACAGTCTTGCTATTGTGAATTGTGCTGCTATGAACATCGATGTAGCAGTGTCCCTGTAGCATGCTCTTTTTAGGTCTTTAGGGAATAGACCAAGAAGGGGAATAGCTGGGTCAAATGGTGGCTCCATTCCCAGCTTTCCAAGAAATCTCCATACTGCTTTCCAAATTGGCTGCACCAATTTGCAGTCCCACCAGCAATGTACAAGTGTACCCTTTTCCCCACATCCTCGCCAGCACTTGTTGTTGTTTGACTTCCTAATGGCTGCCAATCTAACTGGAGTGAGATGGTATCTTAGGGTGGTTTTGATTTGCATTTCTCTGACTGCTAGAGATGGTGAGCATTTTTTCATGTACTTGTTGATTGACTGTATGTCTTCCTCTGAGAAGTGTCTGTTCAGGTCCTTGGCCCATTTGTTGATTGGGTTGTTTGTTCTCTTATTGTCTAATTTTTTGAGTTTTTGTATACTCTGGATATTAGGGCTCTATCTGAAGTGTGAGGAGTAAAGATTTGTTGCCAGGATGTAGGCTCTGTATTTACCTCTCTTATTGTTTCTTTTGCTGAGAAAAAACTTTTTAGTTTGAGTAAGTCCCATTTGTTGATTCTAGTTATTAACTTTTGTGCTATGGGTGTCCTATTGAGGAATCTGGAGCCCGACCCCACAGTATGTAGATCGTAGCCAACTTTTTCTTGTATCAGACGCCGTGTCTCTTATTTGATATCAAGCTCCTTGATCCATTTTGAATTAACTTTTGTGCATGGCGAGAGAAAGGGATTCAGTTTCATTTTGTTGCGTATGGATTTCCAGTTTTCCCAGAACCATTTGTTGAAGATGCTATCTTTTCTCCATTGCATGCTTTTAGCCCCTTTATCAAATATAAGGTAGTTGTAGTTTTGTGGATTGGTTTCTGTGTCCTCTATTCTGTACCATTGGTCCACCCGCCTGTTTTGGTACCAGTACCATGCTGTTTTTGTTACTATTGCTCTGTAGTATAGTTTGAAGTCTGGTATCGCTATACCGCCTGATTCACACTTCCTGCTTAGCATTGTTTTTGCTATTCTGGGTCGTTTATTTTTCCATATGAATTTCATGATTGCTTTCTCTATTTCTACAAGAAATGCTGTTGGGATTTTGATTGGCATTGCATTAAACCTATAGAGAACTTTTGGTAATATCGCCATTTTGATGATGTTAGTTCTGCCTATCCATGAACAGGGTATATTTTTCCATCTTCTAAGATCTTCTTCTATTTCTCTCTTTAGGGTTCTGTAGTTTTCATTGTATAAGTCTTTCACCTCTTTTGTTAGGTTGATTCCCAAGTATTTTATTTTTTTTGAAGATATTGTGAATGGAGTGGTTGTCCTCATTTCCATTTCAGAGGATTTGTCGCTGATATACAGGAATGCCTTTGATTTATGTGTGTTGATTTTATATCCTGCCACTTTGCTGAATTCATTTATTAGCTCTAATAGTTTCTTTGTAGACCCTTTTGGGTCTGCTAGGTATAGAATCATGTCATCTGCAAATAGTGATAATTTAAGTTCTTCTTTTCCCATTTTGATGCCTTTAATTTCTTTCGTCTGTCTAATTGCTCTGGCCAGTGTTTCGAGAACTATGTTGAACAGAAGTGGAGAGAGAGGGCATCCCTGTCTTGTTCCAGATTTTAGAGGGAATGCCTTCACTTTTTCTCCATTCAGAATGATGCTAGCCTGAGGCTTAGCATAGATTGCTTTTACAATATTGAGGTATGTTCCTGTTATCCCTAGTTTTTCTAGAGTTTTGAACATAAAGGGATGCTGTACTTTGTCGAATGCTTTTTCCACATCTATCGAGATGATCATATGGTTCTTATTTTTAAGTCTATTGATGTGGTGAATAACATTTATTGATTTCCGTATATTGAACCAGCCTTGCATCCCAGGGATGAATCCTACTTGATCATGGTGCACAATTTTTTGATATGTTTTTGTATCCGATTCGCCAGAATTTTATTGAGGATTTTTGCATCTAGGTTCATTAGAGATATTGGTCTGTAGTTTTCTTTCTTTGAAGTGTCTTTGTCTGGTTTAGGTATCAGGGTGATGTTGGCCTCGTAGAATGAATTTGGAAGTTCTCCCTCTTTTTCTATTTCCTGAAGTAGCTTGAAAAGTATTGGTATTAGTTCCTCTTTAAAGGTTTTGTAAAACTCTGCTATATACCCATCCGGTCCTGGGCTTTTCTTAGTTGGTAGTCTTTTGATGGTTTCTTCTATTTCCTCAATTGATATTGGTCTGTTTAGGTTGTCTGTATCCTCCTGACTCAATCTGGGCAGATCATATGACTTAAGAAATTTATCGATGCCTTCACTATCTTCTAATTTATTGGAGTATAAGGATTCAAAATAATTTTTTATTATCTTCTGTATATCTGAAGTGTCTGTTGTGATATTGCCTTTTTCATCCCGTATGCTAGTAATTTGAGTTCTCTCTCTTCTTCTCTTCGCTAGCATCGCTAAGGGTCTATCGA